AAATGCTGAAGTGCAACTGCTGCTTCGCACTCAATCTCAAACAACCCACGGCTGAGCCTCTAGCGAGTTTCTGGACAGTAAATCCCACGCAGAGACTGCCCATCTTTCTCTCATGGAGCAGGTGGGAGATTCCACCCACATGCCTCTGCACTAGTCCTTCCGCTCAGCCACCGGAGAAGCAGACGGAATATCCCCAACCTGTCTGCATTTCCTGGGGCGAGTACTCCGTGTGTGTGAACTGGGAAATGCTACCCCAGGCACCTGCAGCTCATCAAGGGGGTGACTTAAGTCCTCGCCCACCCCTGCACAGGTCAAATGAGAACTGTCTGCCTCTAGTCCGCCTGTACTTAGCAGGTTGTACACTCTATCTGTGCTGGGGTGTTGGTGCAGTATACCCATTACTGCACACTAACAGATGCACAACATTTAAAGCTGCTAAAAAAAGTGAAGAGTGCTTCTATTGAAGCAGGGAGCATGCAGACCCCAGGGAGCGAGGGAAGAAGGTCCTTCAAGGAGTCGTGATGTTTTCTCTTAAGAGCTTCTTTCTGGTGGATTCAACTCACCCCAACGGTAGGTTATCTCACAACTTATCAGGGCAGTCCTCGCCCCCTTCAGGGGAGTCACCAAACCCAACCCTCTGAGGACACAGTGCCTACCCCAGGCAATAATTCAGAACAACATCAGTTCTTCTCAAACAGTTTAATAGCAAATAAACAAAGGAAGGTACCACACTTGGCAGATACAAAATGACTTTTTGTCCGTGTGTCTGTGCAATTAAAACAGATTTAGGTTCCCGGTTGGGACAAAAGGAAAAACACACAAAAAGGAAGGCAATTCCTTTTAGACAGATACTCCCTTGCTCCAAACTTGTAACATTTTTTTTAAATCCACTACACAAACTCTGTGATCAAGTCAGAAAAGCGACAAGAGCTTTTCTTGCTTTTTTTTTAAACTATTAAAGTAAAATCCATAATTTTCTACAGAGTACAACACAAGTTCACACAGAAAAGACATTTTCTTTTGCAAATCAAAACAGGAAAGAAAGGAAAAGCTCAAACAAGGTAAAGGAAAGCATTTCTACGGTTGAATCACGACTCTGAGTTGATTGAATCCCGTCGCTGCTGCGGAACAGACTGTGCGTTTGGTCATAGTGGCATTTTTTTTTCTCTTCACATTGTGAAATCACTTTACATTGTTTTCTAGTAGAAAAGGCAAAAAACTGTACAAAACCCCTAGTGTTAAATACAACGTTTGTACCAATAAAAAACTCACACAGGTTTGTCTTCAAAATGTAAAGTTCTTTTTTTTTCTTTTTTTGTATTTTTTTTTCTTTTTAAATTATTCACAAAAAGCAGCTGGAAATCAGAAAGGCAGCTGCCGCTCCAGGGTCTCAAATCCATTAAAACCACCACAGAACAATTAAAACAATCAGAGAGAGAAAAGGAAAAGGAACAGTGTCCAACGTTTGGCATTTGGTTTTATCCACAGGTTTTCCCAGAGCTCCTCTTGGAATTAAAAGCAAAATATATTGGCAAACATGGGTTCTCAATACACAGGAAGGGGGCCTCCCTCCTCTGCTGACAGAGGCAGCTCTGTGCAGTCAGACTGTGGGGCACACAGCAGTCTCACTCGGGCTGGGGGTCTGGCCTCTTTCCATCTAATCATCCCTTCCAGGAAACTAAGCAGCCTACCATACCCTGCACCCTCACGGGGTTGCCCTTCTCCCAAGGAAGACAGTCTCTAGCCCAAGCCTAGGTAACCTGCTGGGTCCCAGAGCCACAATTCTGTCTGGATGCCTTCCCTCACCAGGCCCAGCATGGATGACGCTAAGTAGTGCTTCTACCCGCCCCAGCTGCTCTGTCTCTCCATCCTTTCCTAGACAGGGCACCCTCCTTCCTAGTTTTCTTAGCACCAGCCGCTTAGGTCAGGGTGGGACCCAGCATAAACTCTCTCTCATTGCTCACACCTCCACAGACCCACCCACGACTCTGTTACTTTGGGCTCTCTCCGCTGTCCTTCACATTCCTATTCAAATTACTAAGACCCCGAGGCTGGATGGTGTCACAAGAGAGGAGGGCCAGTTCCCTTCAGGAAAACAAGGAACTGGCTTGCCTGGCACCCAGAGACAATAGCTACTTGGCTCTTCACTCAAAAAAATCCAAATCTTGGCCCTCACCCCACCCCATTAGCTAAGACACAGCAGGGCTGAGGTGAAGAGCCAACTTGGGGTGGTTGGTGCTCAGGGCTGTAAACAGTGTGAAGACTGTAGTATTGTGCTTGTCGCTGAGAAAAGCCAGCAGGTGTATGGCCGCTCAGCGCTCAGATGGCTTCCTACCTGTGGTTCTGAGCACCTGCCTTCCTCTGGGTCGAGGGGTGCTCATTCCCCTATGTGCTAAGCCTCTTTGCCCACCTGCAGCCACCTTCTGGGTTCCTAACTCTGTGCCCCTTCACAGCCCTTGCTGAGCAGAGCGACCAGCCTTTTAGAGGCCCCAGTGAAGTCCAGAGGCCACATGGAGTGACAGTCTAAGTGCACAGGCAAACGCTCAATGGGCAACAGAGGAGGAAGTTGCCACTTCAAAACAAAACAATACAATCGTGAAGGGGAAAAGTCAATTCCACAACAATTTAAAACAGCTTCTTTGAAACCCTTTTAAATCGATCAGTTTTTGCACAAACTATAGAAAACAGAGAGGTGAAGGTGATATATACGAAGGTGTGAAGAAACAGCAGGAAACATGCAAAACTTGTTGGGTTGTTGTTTTGTGTTTGTTTTTTTTTCCTGGGCATAATATTAAGGGAAAAAAAAATCAACATAAAAACAAAAGAAGAAAAAAAAATTGAAGCATCACATTTTGCTGTGGAGACTATAGGAACAAGCATGGAGGGGATGCAGGCGGGCCAAGGGGAGGGGTCCAAAGGCTTCCCACAGGAAGAACCACGCACGAAAAAGGGAAAGGGCTGGCTGCGGTCCAACGCAGCCTTCAGCCAAAACCGAAAGGTGTGTTCTGCAGCCGAGAACCAGGAAAAACAAAAAAGACACATGTGGTCTCCTCAAGCCCCACAAACGCTGTCAGCAAGATGTGCTCAGGAGCCTCAGAGGTTTTAGTGACATCTTTTATTTCATTGTTGACTTCAAAGTTGTCTTTAAAACTAAGCACACAGAGAAACAAAGCCTAGAAACGGACTGGCTGTGTGTTCACAGAAATACAAACACCACGCGGTATGTGCTAGTAGGGCTGCTCTGAAGACAATTACAAAGAATTGGAATCACAAAATCAAGTGGTTATCTTATGAAGTTCTAGAAAAATAGATTTTTTTTTTAATATTCAAATGCAAGTTTAAATATTTCCCCTTCAGCAGTCGTTCTAGCAAAACCAATTTGGCAGCACAAAAGGGAAAAAAAAAAAAAGGAAAGAAAAAAGAAAAAACAAAGAAAGAAACAAACATAATAAAAATACACGTCAGCATCAAAGATCAACACAAGGTCAAAGGTGAGAGTTCAAGCATCAGAGAAGCTGAAGAGACAGGGATTTGGACGATGTACTTGACGCCACATCGACATGCTTTAGGCACAACGATGAACAAACGGCAGGAATCTAGAAAAAAAAACAAACCAGAAAGAGGGAGACCCACTGAGTTACACAGAGCAATACATCCAAACAGAGAGAGAGAGAGAACAGGACACTCACTGTGTGTACAGCCCTGAAATGAGGAGGCGGGGTGGGGCACCGGTAATGACAGGGAACTTTTGCACATGCTAACAATGGACACAGGGAAAAGTCAAAAAAGGACATGGAGGACACCAAGAAAACATCTAACTGCCAGAGACATGGAATCTAAGGCTTGGATTTCTCCCAAAGCATCCCAGCAGGAGAGAAGGCCACAGGGTCAGAGCCCCAGCCTCTCCCCGTACTCCCTCCCTGTCAGCACCCAGAGCGGAAGTGGAAGATGCTGGCTGGGGCAGGAGGCTTCTCAGGACAGGGTTAGAATTTCTCCCTAACCCCTATGGGAATGGCTCTTTGTTCCCAGAAATCCAAGCTCTTAGCTTCCATACAAGCCCTGGTCATTAGGTGGAACCCAGGAGACAGGAGTCTGGTTGCATTCAGGACAAATCAATTTCATGATGGAACCCTAGGAAACAACAAAACTACAGCAGAAAGCACAATGTACATAAAACCCCCACACAACAGAAAAGGACTGCTAAGACTTGACTGTGAGTCTCCGCTCTCTGAGCTGAGTCCCTTCACACACAGACTTGGAGGGGAGCAGCTTCTTCACAAAACCATCTTTGGCCTGGGGAGAGAACTGTGCTCTAGGGCAGTGCTGCTGCTGGGCTTACAGGGCAGGGGATGGGGTGACAGAGAAGCGCATGGTCTCACCAGTTGGCTGCTTTGGTAGCCCAGGACCCTGCTGTGGTTCACTCCTTTTAGAAAAGAGAACCCACTAGCCTCCAGGCTGGTATCACAAGCAGGCTGATTGCACCTTTGCCTTCTGTTACTGGGAAAGGGGTTTCGTGAGGGCCCAGGGTGCAGGACAAACCCAAGGACAGGCATTAGTGAGGTCTGGGAAGGGGATCTGGGCCCAGGGTAAGCACACACAATGGCTGGCTAAGGAGGGAGTGCGAGCAGGTCAGCAATCACAGCTCGAGCAGCACCCTGTGGAGCACAGCTCTCTCCTCTGCCAATTCACAGCATTAACTCCTTCCCCCTCTGGCGGGTTAGCTGGGCTGCAAACGGGCCATAGAAAGTCAGTAGTTTCAATCATACACAGCACCCTGTGTGTACAACAATCACATTCTGGATTCTACAAAATCCTGGCCTTTTCCAGAGATATAATTTAGGTAATAAATATTCTCCACCCCGGAGCTGTATAAAACTTCTATAAAAATAGAAACAACATTCTTGGTTCCAGCCGGTTGGGATTCAGAACAGCGCCTCCCCAACCTAGCATTTTTTTTTTTTATTTTTTTTTTTGTGTGTGTTTTCTTTTTTCATTTTTATTTTTTATTTTTTGCATTTATTTAAAAAACCCCATCATGCCCCTGGAAGCCTTTGGAACAGTTTTATCCTCTGAAACATAGGACACATTTCTCCCAAGTGCGCAAAATTCAAGTTTACGTGGTTCAGCTTCAGAAGTGTATGTTTCACGTTTCTTAGAGGACAACAGACTCAAGTTATCACTATGAGTAGGAAAGAACTGTCCCAGTTTCAATGGGGGGGGAAAGCCCAACACCACCAACTACCTTTATGAGGCAAGATGGTCAATCCCTGTCTGCTGTCTGCTACCTAAATGGAGAGCGTGACAAGGACAGCCCATCTGTCTTACGGTGAACCAATCCTTCTACGGTCTCTGCTGCTAAGGTCAGGACTGATGTTTGTGAGGCTTAAGCTCCTAGAGACCCAGTCCCTGGCCTTGGTTAATAGACAGATCCTTGTAGGATTACCTCTGCCCAGGTATATGTCGCCACCATATCCTTCCTAGCTCACCACCCCACAACATTTCTGGGAGCAAAGGCAAAGCCCAGAGGCTGGGTGGGTCACAGGTCAGAGCAGGAGCCAAACCTGTGGGAGGCAGGAGGAACCTAACTAGAAGGAGCATGAGGACAAAACTGCACATGGTAATACTGAGGTAAATGAACACTAAATCCACAGGGAAGCTGTAAACGTTCTAGTGACTCACTCTGTCCCCAAGAGCAGAAGATGGGCTAAAGTGGTTAGGAGAGGGACCTGCCAGGCCTCCACGTGTCTATCACATCTGAGACGCCTCCACCAAGGAGGCAAGTGCAGATACTTCTATCCTAGTGCTGGCCACTAGGCAACATGGGACACTGGCTTTCTGAGTCAGGTAAGTCAAGAAGCAGGCTCCTCCCCCAACTAGATGGCTTCTGATTATTCTGCCCAGGAGAGGAGCCCTTTCAGCTAGTTAGGGCAAGCCCTTCTAGGATATGCCCTCAGGAAAAACGGTGGCTGTGAGGGCAATAAGGTCCTTGCCAAGGTGAACTGTAAGGAAAAAAAACAGGCAGTGTCTTCCCTAAGGGAGTTCCTCAAAAGGACGTGTTATTAGAAAATGATCAGGCTCTACAACTTGGTGTTCAAATAAAAGGACCAAGAATGATGGGCTGCTTCTCCCAGGCAGCCACTGGCTAGGCAGGGCTGATCCAACACAAAGGCTGGCTGGAAAAGCTGGTAATGGGAGAGGTCTCTGCTTTTTGCATAAGCCAGGCAAACTGCAGGTGTTCTTTCGCCAGAAAACTGCTAGCCCCTTCTTGGGGAAAAGGGATAGAAATCTGAAAAATTGGTGGCAAAAACTCAGGATTTCCACAGAAGGCTGCCGTGGAAGTTTCTGTCTCCAGCGCCAAAGGCTGAGTGAGTGGTGTCCAGCAGTATCCCCCAATTCTCAAAGCCAATCTTGCCTTGCTTTCTCACCGTCACAGAGCCGGGTGGTCAGCGCTCTTTCCACCCACCCCCACATTCAGGGAGATTCTGGGAGTCAGGTCTTTGTTCCACTTAGTCCTCTCTCTTAGGGTAGTAATGTGGGGCAAGTTCTCATCTTCTTTTGAAATGTTTCCCCATTCCATTCCCCCTCTCCCAGGGCGGTTTGGTGTTGGTCCTTCTCAACACACACTGGTACAAACACAGCAAACTTTAAATAAAGGAGAAAAAAAAAACAACAAAAACAACTCAGGATATGGCACCTAACTCCAAAGTAAAACACTGGAAACCAAAGCACAAACTCGTCCTCTGTACGAAGCGTAACTCCCACAGAAGGCAGTAGCCGAGTCTTCAGGGCAAGCTGTGCCTGCGAGAGTGGCAGGGATCAGGGTCCAGGGCTGTAAACACACAGCCTTAGGGCTTCGAATCATTAAGGGTGCTCCTCCCCCACTTACCAGAAGACCCTCTCACTCCAGTCTCAGAGGGGAGCACGCTCAGTAGGGCTTGCTGTCATTCTTTGAACGTTTGAGCTGCACTTTAAGCCGCTTCATGCCAATCTGAAAGCCGTTCATAGACTGGATGGCAGCTTGAGCAGAAACAGGATTGTCGTAACTTACAAAACCTGTGTATCCAAGAAGCAGCTTAGTTGAGGGGCATGAGGTTAAGGGGATTCTCAATCCTACTCAATCTACAATCTCAATTTTTCTCAGCAAGCAAAAACAAGTTTTGGAAATTTTGTCACATGAAATTAATTCATTATCTGATCTGTGCTGAGTTGATCTGCTAACCAAAGGCCAAGCTTTGGGTAAAAAGTGAGCATTCTCTTCTTAATGGGATTTATGGCCTTGGAAATTGGATGGGTGTTCACTCCAAATTAGAAATGATTTGATGTCAAGGAGTTTGAGTTGGTGGGGTAGTGGTTTAAGGTTGGGAGTTTGAATCCACCAGCTACTCCATAAGTGAAATTGAGGCTGACTTGATAAGCCTTAAAAACTCTTTGGGGCACTTTTTCTGTCATATAGGGCATTGAACGCAGTGGGTTTGCTAAAACAATCACCTGACATCTACATGGTTTTTCCCCAAGCCATTTTCCATACATTTAGAGCAACAGTGTGGATAAAAATCAGTTCCACCACAAAAGGTTAAGAAAAAGAGAGAGCAAGGGAGCTTTCCAAGGCCAAATTAACAATAATACTCAATTCAACTCTTCCTCGTGCAATGAATCCCCTATCTTTCTCAGTGGTAAAATAATCAATTCCACCCAAATTCCAGAAAGGAAGCCAACATACCAAAACACTTGCTCAGGTTTGTCTGCTTATCTATAAAAACCTTGGCAGACACGACATTCCCAAAGGGCATAAACATCTGCAGCAGGTCCTGATCGCCAAACTCCTGGGGCAGGTGGTAGATGAACAGGTTGGCTCCCTCTGGACCTTCAAAACATCCAATGATTGCCAAGATCTCAGTCTCAAGCATATGTTGTCTTTCCTTTTCACAAACCCTCTATAGATGAATTTAGCTAACTCCAGAGTTCCTCCAAATCAGGGAACTGAAGAGCAATTCCTGAACTAGATTTATTCTCTTATGTTTAGCCACAGTCCCTTCTCAAGGGGTGTCAGACTTCTATTCTGGGGGAGGAAGACTCTCCCATAGAGCAATAGCACCAAGACAAATGGCTCACAGTAAGTACAGAAGTTGTAAACACAATAGTCTTCAAAATTGTCCCTAGAAATGACAGGGACAGCAAATAGACTGGCAGTTGTCATAGGAAAAGAATGAAGGTAGGAGCAACTTCAAAGGGACATGAGGGAATTTTAAGGAATAGTAACATCAATAAAAATAAAAACCTGTATTAGTGGTTACAAGAATGTACTCTATATTAAAAAGTGGAGATTTTACGTTATATAAATAAACAAACTCAACTTTTTCCCAAAATTTTCTTAAAAGGTGTTGATCAATTCTTGGAACTCCCTACATGGTGCAAGTCCACCCAGAAGTATTTCAGAAGAATAGCCTCTCAGAGCCTTACTAGTAAAAATCCTACGGAGGAAAGGTAATTTTTAAAAAATTAATAAGGGTAGCTCTGGTGGCCTAGTGGCAAGAAGCTGCACTGCAATCCCAGAGGAACACGGTTCGAATCCACCAGATGCTCTGCCGGAGAAGGAGGCGCAATACCCTCCTGTACCAGTCAGATCTGATTTGACGGTACACGCACACAAAATTAAAAAAAAAAATTATTAAATCCACAGAGCACAGTTCTGTGATATACATGAGGTTATCATAGTGGAGTCAACTCACTCTGTGGGAAAAAGAGATTACATTTTCTTCTTCTGATCACATATGCTTAATGCTTTTCTAAATAGAACCTATTTATGACAACCATAATCCAGCCACATGCTGGTCTTCCTTCTATGGTCAAACCTATTGGGCAATACTGCTCCAGGGTCTTTACTGTTCCTCAAGCCTAAGTAGGGAGCTCTGATGGGTGGCTTAGTGGTAAGGAGTGCACTGCTTTATCCAAAGGCTTGTGGTTCCAATCCACCGGCTGCTCTGCAAGAGGACAGAGAATCTCCTGATTTACTGCCTCTGAAAATCCACTGGAGGGTCAGCTATAGGTTGGTTCTAACTCACCAGTACTAACAATAACTCCTCTTATTGGACTTTTCCCTTTTAAAAAAGGCTCTGCTTAAAGAGAACTTCTCAGATTTATCTATTCCTCATTTTTCAGGGCATCCTTTGGACACCTACTGTTCGGCCTGTTTAGTCTCCAATGAAAGGTCAGGGCCCTAAGGGTACAGAGTCTAATTCTGGGCATGTGAGAAAGGATTCTCCTGGCTAAGTCAAGAGAAGGTAAAAGTCTACTTTAAGTGCTTTTATCTCTCCATCTCTTAGTTATCAATCCGAGTCACACTTAAGCACAAGATGTTAGCAGGGCATTCTATTCATACAATTTTCTGCTTAGAAAGCCTCTTCTAAATTTAACTCCATTATGTCAGAGCACATAGTTTGCAATCTATCAATCCATGGGCCATAACCCTTCTGTCAGCCCTCAGTCTATCCAGAATCAGAGAAAACATAGATGAGAAAGTGAAGGAACAGTCAGTCACATGATCCACCCAAAAGGTTCACCTGGACAGGTATCTTCTGACAAATATGTAACTGCAGGGAAGACTTCCTAACAAAATCAATTCTTCAGCATTTCAAATTATGTCTGACCCAATAAGGCCAACAGTTTTCTTCATCTGCAGCCCCATCATAGGGAGAATATAGTGGTATGATCTGTATCCTATCCAGAAAGCATTCCAAACCCTGATTCTATCTTTACAGAGCTGCTCAGTCAATTCTGACACTGCCAAAGAAAGTGCTGGTCAGATCAGTAGTATAGTTCTTTGATCTGTGCTCCACCATTCAGTTTTGGCACAGACAGAGCAACCCAACCCAACTCAATCCAACCCATCCCATCCTCCATTCTCTTCCTTCGCACACACCTTCCTTCTGGCTTCCAGCAGCACCAATACTCTGCTGTGTCAAAAGATTCTGGTTGTAGAGTGTGGGGAGCGCTGCGGCAGCGTATTGCTGGATCCCAGAGTAGGCCTGGGTGAGGGCCTCCATTGTGCTCCCAGTGCCATTGGAAAGGCCGCCACTTCCCAGGCCGCCATTTAAAGCAGCCATTCCTGTGTTCAGGGGAAGAGAAAGATTAATATATTAGAATTCAACGTGTGCCAAAGGCAGACTTATGAGCAAACAATCAAAAGAGGGCAAACAACAAGTACCACCTTTCATCTCTCTCCCTCATATTCCTCCTGAAGAGAAATACCCAATCTGACTGGAGGACACACATTAGGCCTTGATGTTAATGGGGGTCATGAAAAAAAAAAAAAAAAGCCACAGCCAAATGCAACTCTTCCCAAAACCCTCTTTAAACCTTTAGGAGAAGTAGTACCATTTACACACGAATGCCTCCATTTCCCCCACTTTCTTATAAAGAGCTACAATGTAATAAAAGTTCTTGCCTTTCAGTCTAAGGGACATATTATGGCCTGTAAGTAGACGTGGGTAAACCTATCACCAGAGTAACACCAGGCAAAATTTAGTGAGCACGTACTAAGTGTCAGGCACACATGACAAGTTCAGTACTTCACATATGTTCTCATTTCATCTCATAATAACTCTAGAGATTTGCATATTCCTCCCACCCTTTATTTCATAAACTCTTACTTCACAGAAGAAAAATATAAAAGACCTTAGAAACGATGTTCAGAGTTATTGTTAGTTATGGGACAAAGGTGAAAAGTTAATCTGGGACTGACTTCAAATCCCATTATTTGTTTCTAATTTCACTGATTCACAATAATAATGTATGTGGTATTCACACCAGGACTGTTTAAAATGTGCTACGGTTTAGAGAGGAAATGAGTATGTCAAGTGTCACACTCCCAGAGTATTTAAGAAGACAGAAATGAGGACATGTGATTGTAGTGTGTCATCACTATAAGAAATAGCCTGGTACACTGAGTCTTGCCCCTTACCTGCCAGAGAGCTGACATTGAGACCAGCTGTTGCTCCAGCTAATGTCTGCAAGGCTCCAAGGGAGGCTATCGGGTTGACAGAGTTGCTGCTGCTGGAGCTAGGTGAGGACCCTGCTATTAGAAATCCAGCAGTTAAACTCAAACCATGACTTACCTTTGAATCAGAGTGGTAGCGCTCAATTATTCTATTTGCAGTGAGGTTTTTCTGTTATTAATTCTGAAAATTGCCCTTGCAGGCTTAAAAACAAACAAAACCCTCCACCTCACCAAACCCCCCACTATCATAGCAAACTAAAAACGCTGACATTTAAGTCGGAAGATGACATTTGATAATTTGTCATATGTGAATTAATTTTCTTTAGAAATGAGAGCTCATTAGTTTCACTCTGAAACATACTTCTCTTTGAAATCTGCCTTTCAGAAAGGATTTACCCCAAACATCCAATGGCACAGTAACCCGCAAGACACACTTACCTGAACTGGTAAGGACGCTGAGGGGACTGCTGGATGTAGTGAGAGCATTGGTACCACTTGGTGTATTCTGAGCTGCGCTAGCTGCGGCAGCCAGTGCTGCCAAGTTCTGTAACTGCATTGCATTTAACCCTGCAAGATCCAAAGCAAGACATCAGCTGACCAATAAGGATGTTGCATACCCACTGTAGCAATGACAGCACTCACTGTCAGAAGACTGGTCACAGGCAAAAAGGGCCTGGTCTACACATGAGCTTTACAAGCAACACTTACAGTGCTCGGAGAGATTTAGGAATCACTCAACTTATTAAGCTACTTGGCAAAATTTCTTCAGAGAAGGGAAATCGAATTGAAAAGCATGCCTCCCTAGTGAGCATTAAAGAGGGGGCGTTGGGAAAGCAGAAAGAAGATATATGTTTGTGACCTGTTGTGGGGTCAAGAGCCAGAGTGAAGAACATTGCAAAGACCCTGTGGCAGAGAATGGGACTGTAGTCAACACTCACTCATATTTTGTAGAGGGGATTTGTTCTTTGCAATGGAGGTAAACAATCAGAAAATGTGGGAGTGCGCTCTAGAAGATCAAGCAAGGAATGATAGAAGAGTAGTATGAGAGATGCAACAAGACAAAGAATAAAGAGAAAATCTTGAATAGCAGACTAATGATCAAAAAAAGGAGCCCTCCCTTGTAGAACTGAGGCAACACATAAGGAGAAAAAGAAATGCGAACTGCACTGATGGCATTTTTCAGTAGATGATGAAAAGGCAGAAAGGCGGGGGAAGGAGTGGAAAGAATGAGAGAGAATAAAAACTACAATACTGATTGCATCTAACATTCTCAAAAAAAACCCCACAAAACCAACAAACAAAAAACCCAAAACACAGCAAAGTACTGTAATCCCTGGAATAGCATAAATCACTATCAAAATTTTTAAACAGCAAGATGCAGTTCCACTAAGACTGGCTATTTCTGAATGCTCTTGCATAGCTTTTCCTCACCACAAAAAGGTAGGAGCTGCCACTCAGGACTTTGCCCCATATGCTGAAGGGTCCCTGGCTCAGATTTATTTTTTGTGCATGTTATGCACCACCATACACACACAAAGGTGCCTCCTGTACAGAAGAAACAAATGTAAATTAACTACTTCAGTTGGAGTAGCTTCAGAATAAGTGTTCTTCACAGAAGGTAGCTTTGACTTTCCTTCATGTCATTGGAAAATTCATTTCACTGAGAAAGAGCTCCTGTAATTTCCCCATGTAAGAATGCTCTCAGAGAGACCAAAGGTGTTAACAGATCTTTTCCATCTTCTTTCTAATAGACTTAAGGGATGATGGGCAGGGGCAGCTCCTGAATTATTTCCTATCAACTAATAATAATAGTCATCTTAGAGAAAAAAAGACAGTTGAGTCCTGGGTTGTTCATCTTAGTGTTTTCTGTGATGAGCAACTAATTTTTCTCTCCATGGATAGTACAAACTCATGGAAGTCTGCCCCTGCTCCTTTTAAAGCACAGGGTGGATGCTGCAGAACTCTCAGGCCATTGTTGGTTGGTGGGGTCTGTTGGCCTGGCGATGCCGCTCCTCCACAATAGCAAAACACTTACCTCCCATTGGGTGGAGGCTGCTCAGGGTGTTGAGGTTCCCAGAGGAGGCAGTCTGCTGAAGGAGCTGCAAATAAAGCTAGACATTACACCAAAAAACAGAACAAGAGTGAGAGTGAGGGCTGGTTCTGCATCTGGGATAATTCTACAGCACAGCAAAGCGAGAGTGCAGAGGACCCCAGAGAGAAGAAAGTCGAAGACAAGAACCCAAGCCAACACACAGACATGAGGCGTATGACACAAGACAATGCAAGACAGGTAAAGCCTTGGCCCAGAAGACAGAGTGTTCACTAAATACTGAGCCAAGATGAAGCCCCTGGGAAGCAGAATGCAACCTAACAGGACAGCAGTAGAGCTGGGAAACAGCCCCAACCTGAGCATTTGTGCAACTGACTAGGATTCGTGCCTGCATGTAGAGGGCTACTATTTCTCTTTATTCTCTTCCTAGTTCTTCTCCTTAGTTAATTCCACACATTCTACTCTTTGGATTGTTTCCATCAGTGCAGCTAATTTCTGTCGTCCACTAATATTTCACATATCTGACCATTTAGTATTTACCAGTTCTCTTCTAGTGGCCACAACAAACAAATACCCCATGTTACACCATATGCATCAAACCCTATCTTTTTCCTCTCCTTGAAACTGGTCTTCACTATTAGATGGTCAAATGATTTATGGAGTGAGACATATCAAGTTCACCATAAACTTTCAGTGACTGTGGTGTAACCAATTAAACAAGCAGGTTTGTCTCTGAGTTTATGGAACTCTATGAACTTATTCTGTATCTTAAAAAACCACAATTTTCTTTAAACTGATTTATTTAATATCTCTGCTACTTTCAAATTCCATTACTTGCTCTTTATGAACTGATATTCTTGTTTCTGGAATCTTCATTTAATCTTTTCTCATGTCTATGAGTCTTAGTTCTTTTGTCATTATAAATCCCTCTGGGTCAGGAATGGGTTTCAGAGGTTTGTAAATCTTTATAATAATGTATGGAAAAATGTATACACACTCAAGCTTTATAAGCTTTTCAAAGGGATTCATGATCAGGCAAAGACTGAAAGAGTCGAACCACAGTTCTAGTCCAGCAGAGTTCAGGCTTAAATGTATATATTCCAGACAACACACTACAATCATTTACACAGTACATCAGCACCCAGCACAGCTTAATTTTTTTTCTTAAATATTCTGGGCGTATTATACATAATATTTTAATTTCTAAATAAGATCAGCTCTTAGGGCATGGCTAATTGAAATGAAGACACCATGGTTTTCACATAGACTACTGTGTCCTTGGCTGGATTATGTTAAAAATGCTAAAAAGGGCAGTTTTCCCTTAAAAGACTCAAACAGGGTCCTAGAAAAGTAAATTAGGAGAGTGCTTTCAAAAGTGGAATTATTTAGATAAACTGTTGAACTTTTCCTGAACTTATCCTGGCAATCAGAAACCATTTTACCTGTGTATGTATGAGCCATCTTACAAGTCTTAACTTCAGAGAAATGCCAGCTAACATGATGTGATTTCTTTTACCACTGTAGAAATCTGGAGACATGAGGTGATCAATTTTGCTATTTTTTTGCTATTTTTCTGTGTATTTTTAAAAGATGAAAGCTTAATGACTATACTAGTTACTACAATGTATACTTGGCAAACTATACAACTATAGTGGCTTCTCATTTTACTTCACTATGAGCTTCACAGATCTCTCTCTGACTCACAGATGAGATGGTTTTAAATATCTTCAGCTAGTTGAACTTCCTTGGAGGATCAAAGCAGTAATATTTTCCTATATGTATATTACAGACCTCCTAAGTCTAAATAATAAACTGCAACTTGACTCTGGATGATATATCTCAAATTCTATTCAGCATGTCATTGAACTCAAATACATACCTATAATAGGCATTTAGTAATTTCCATGTTAATCTTCTGATCTCTCAGTCAGCTGAAAAGAACCTTTTCTTATAGAATGATTTGGAAGACTCAAAGTTATGAAGATAAATAGGACATATGAGATGTATCTAGTAGATCTTTAAATCAGGAAATCACAATATGACTTTATGGTGGATGCCTCTAGATACAGCCAGAGGTGTGTGACACATGAGGAAGAAACTAATCTGACTTAAAAGAATGTTGTGTTGGCTGTAATTTTACATAAAATGTCTATATGGTAAAACTTATAAGTGCTTCTGTGTCTGTTGGCTATGGATAGGAGAAGAAGAAACAGCTGGGAGCTTGCACAGTCTGCAGAAAGCAAACCACAAAGACTCACTGCTAAATACTGGGGTCCAAGAGTATTTAAACCAGCGAGGTTCCCCCACACAGATGCTGCGCTGATTTGCTGCATCTGCTGCTGAAGCTGCTGAGCCATTCTCTTCTGTTCTTTATCCTTTTGTGTATCCGCAAACTTCACTACCATGGGGGATGAGCAACCCTATGAAAATACCAAAATCAACGAGTCAGATCTTCCATCTAGGTGAAAGGCAAGTCCTGCTTTCTGGTGAATGCTTATTCCACTCACTGTTAAATGACTCTTAAATGGCAGAAGAGGACATTTCTAATGTTAGATATGTAAAAGAAATCATTGGATTTCAACTTTAAGGCAAATGGACGGTTTAATTTTTAGGGCAATGTGATGCTGTACATGCTGCTGGACTCTTGAATGCCAGCTGGACATGTACTCTCAGGCCCAAGAACACTCCCTCCTCCCCATCTGTCCCCTACCTCCATGGTTTGTGCTTGGTGCATTGCCTTGATAGCTGTCTGTGCCATCGCTCTTGTTGTAAAAGTCACAAATGCACAACCTGGTCAGAGAAGAATTAAAACCACTTTCATCTCTTTGCTTATTTATCAAACACCTACTATGTGTACCAAGTACACACTATGAGTGTATCAGTGTCAGTGATACACACATGGCCTCTGCCTTCAAGGTATTATGAACTGGTGGATATAACAGAGTGACACACATTACAACAATAATGAAAGAAAGAGAAAACCACAGACAAGAAAAAAAGCTTAAGGAAAAAAGATGAAAATCCCACCAACAACTTTTATAAGCACAAAAGAGAATTTTAATATATGAAGCCAAAAATGGAATTTAGGGTCCAGGGTGAAGGTGGGGGTGGGGCTTCTGGAGGTTTAGTGGGTAAGGAGTTGGAACGCTAACCCAAAGGCAGACAGTTTGACTCCACTAGCTGCTGCTTCGAGGAAGAAAGATGGGCGATCTCCTTCCATGCAATTTACAACATCTGAAGATCTATAGGGTGGGTCAGCTATGAATTGGTTCAGACTTGGAGAGATGATGGGAGAGGAATGATGATTCATTCAACAGGAAGTAAAAAATTAAGCAGCAGCCCAACTCCTTCCATCCTCAGAAGGTCTTGTTAGCTAGGGTTCACTGGTTTCCACTGATCGAATGAAAAAGAAACTCCAATCTAAGATGATTATCTCCTCTAAAAGAGTCCTCACCTCGGCTCAAGCCATCAGGTCCCCGCAATATCCGGCATTCTTCAATCTGTCCAAATGAAGAGAACATGACTCGGATGTCATTTTCCGTGCACTTCTTGGAAATCATACCAATAAACAGCTTCCTGTCTTCCACTGCTAAGGAAGTAAAACACAAAAGGCTTAAAATCATTACTAAAAAGGGAGGTGTTCATAGTCTATGAAGTTTAACTACCTGGGTTAAACTGCCCTGACTCTTTATAGAATTTTACTGATTTTTATATTTATTTTTCCTAATGTAACATCTCCAAAATCCTGACGTTTAAAATAGTCAGCAGTACTTTACAATTATAACTATTGTTGTGTACTGTCAAGTTGGATACATTCCATAAATGACCCTCCAGAGGGTTTTGTAAACTGAATGGGAGGAGATTATCCAGATTTCTCCCAAGGAGCAAGCAGTAGGTGGATTCAAACCATGTGCCTTTGGAATGGCAGCGAAGTTCCTTACCACTAGGTCACTAGAGTGCTCTGACAACTCTAATTGGAGCCATTTAAATATCTGAACTCCCGGATCTTGTGAAAGTTAAGGAATGCTTCTGAACCTGACTGTTTATCTGATTAATGGAGATAATAGCTGTTGAATACATTAATTTATTCATGCTTAGTACCCTGTATAGGACACCCTGTTTTTACGAGTATTATCCCACTAAAGAAGGGTATAGATTTCATAGGTAAAACAGCCTTCTGTGAATTAATCGCTCATTTTCATTTCCTATTTTCTTGAGGATCAAGTTCCCCTTCTTAACTTTTCACATTCATGTCCATAAAGAAATTAAATTTCTCAAGGGTATTTCAATAAATTCTAAAATGTTTCAATGATTCCCTATGAACTATTTACCACTTATTTCTGTAGACACACAATTGTTGTTGTTATGTGCCATCAAGTTGCTTGCGACTCATAGTGACCCTACGTACAACAGCCCTAAATCCTGCTCTATCCTGTGCCAATCGCACTGCCTCCGATACACACCAATCTCGATTACCCCAGTCACTGAATCAATCCACCTCATACAGGGTCTTCCCCTCCTGCACCATCCCTCTACCCTCCCAAGCATGATGTCCCTCTCCAAGGACCTGTCCCTTCTTACAGCATGTCCAAAGTACGTCAGACGAAGCCCCAGCAGCCTTGCCCCCAAGGAGCAGCCAGGTTTAACCCTCTCCAGGATGAATCTGTTTGTTTTCTTGGCAGTCCAGGGTACATTCAATACTCTTCTCCAGCACCACAGCTCAAAGGCATCAATTCTCCTTCTATCCTCCTTGGTCATTGTCCAACTCTCTGATGCATAACAAGTGATTGCAAAGACCATAGCCTGTATCAGACGTACCTTAGTCTCCAGAGTGACACCATTGGTCTTCAGTACCCTGGAGTTCCCTAACAGCAGACTTTGCCATTGCAATACGTTTTTTGATTTCCTGGCGGCTGGTGCCAGGAGTGTTGACCGTGGAGCCAAGCAGACTAAAGTTGTTGACAATCTCAATCTCTTCACTATCCATCCTGATGCTGCCGATTGGTCCAGTGGTGAGAATCTTTGTCTTCTTGACATTGAGCCTCAATCCATACTGAAGGCTGTGGTCCTTAACCCTCTGTAGCAAGCATTTCAGGTCCTCCTCAGTTTCAGCAAGCAGGGTTGTGTCATCTGCATAATGCAGATTGTTAATAGAGCTTCCACCAATCCTGACGCCACACTTCTTCTCACAGAGCCCAGCCTCTCAGTATCTGTTCTGCATACAGGTTGAAAAGGTATGGAGATAGAACACATCCCTGGTATAAAGCCTTCCCAATTTTGAACCATTCAGTGTTTCCCTGCTTTGTTCTGATGACTGCCTCTTGTTCCAAATATAGGTTTTGCATTAGCACGATCAAGTGTTCTGGGATTCCCATTCTTCTGAGTCAGCCACAGTTTGTTATGATCCACACAGTCAAACGCCTTTGCATAATCAATGAAACACAGACATTCTTCTAGTATTCCCCGTTTTCAGCTAAGATCCATCTAACATCAGCTACAATATCCCTAGTAACATGACCCCTTCTAAACCCAGCCTGGTCTTCTGGCAGTTCTCTGCTGATGTGCTGTTCCAGTCATTTTTAGATAATCATCAGTAAAATCTTGCTTGCATGTGAAATCAATGAGATTGTTCTATAGTTTCCACTGTTGGGTCACCCTTCTTTGGAATGGGAGCAAACATCTATCTCTTTTAGTCAGTTGGTCACGTGGTTGTTCTCCAGATTTCTTGGCACAACTTGGTGAGCACATCCAGGGCAGCATCTGTTAGCTGAAATATGTCAATTGGTATACCATCTATTCCTGGGGCCTTATTTTTTGCTATTTCCTTTAAAGCAGCCTGAACTTATTCCTTCATCACCATAGGCTCTTGCTCATATGTTATTTCATTAAATTCTTCTGTCTCTGCCAATTCCTTTTGGTACAGTGACTCAGTATATTCTTTCCATCTTCTTTTAATACTTCCTGGATCATTTTATATTCTGCCTAAAGCATCCTTGATTGTAACAACTCGAGGTTTGAATTTTTTCTTCCGTTCTTTGAGCTTAAGAAATGCTGAACGAGTTGGGCCCTTTTGATTTTCCGACTCTAGCTCCTCGCACATTTCATTGTAATATTTTGCTTTGTTATCCTGTGCTGCCTTTTGGAATCTTCTGTTCAGCTCTTTAGTATGACAAATTACTCAGAACACAATGCAATTCAGATGTTGTAAGGAAAGCAAACAAACTACAAAGTTATCTTATAAAGAGGTTTTATATGCCTGCTTACCATTGTTCTTCTCACTGTCAGCAGGCTTCATCTGTATAGGATGATGCATCTAAGAAGGAAAAACGAAAGAGAATTATCATTGTATTGCTAAAGGTTATTCAGAACCAATACTGAAAATTAGACCTTTAAGAGCTCTTCATTTGAAAGCACTTGATTTTCAATGTCTAAGATAGCTCATTCATGTGTCTCTCATGATCTGTATCCCCAAGACTCTTGAGAGACAACACTTTCACCTGACCCTTCTTTGAAATGCTCCCTTTATGTCTTCAGTTTCTCTCCATCAATTCCTTTCCCTCAAAATTTTTTTCAGTGCAGGCCTGATAAATATGCTCCAAGCATCAAAACTACAACATTCTATTACTAATAAGAGTATTCTTACCCCTGGGAGGACTTTCATGTTGTGAAGAGCATTCTGCGCTTCTAATGCAGCTTTACGAGTGTAAAACGTAACAAAACAGCACCCTGGAATAAATAATATTTCACAAAATTAAAAGCAGACAATTCCTAGATTATTCTGGAACTTTATCAATGGGCTAGATTTAATTACAATTTAATGTTGCTCAGAAAACCAACTAAATCACTGTCAATGAATGCTATTTACTGTTACAGAAAACATGACCTCCTTTACAATTGTTAAAGTACCATTGCTTCCTACTGGTAGGAATCTCAGAAGACTGAGCTGCTTCAAATAAGATGCCTACACACAAAAGATCCACAGGCTTCCCCCGCCCCCAACTTACTCCAGTCAAGACACTAAAGACAACTTTCTGTGGCTAGTTTACTAGAATAATGTAATTTCATTCCCAAGCTCAAATGAGACATAAATGGGTCTCTTTTTTGAATTCAGGCATGTTGCAAAGGGCTGTCAAAGACTTAATTTACAAACCATCCTTACAAAGTCAATGTAACTTTTGATTTTTAAGTCACTGTATGTGTTTGGCTAAAGATATAGCTTAATAGAAAAGGACATTTTCCTTCAACGACCACAGCAAAATCCATACGAAAAACCTCAAAGCCTCACCTTTGCTTTGAGGAGGGTTTTGGCTCCTATCTCTCAGAACATTGATTTCATAGACAGCACCATACTGTTCAAAGAGTTCTCTCAAGTCTTTCTCAGACCAGGTCCTCGGAACCTGGCCCACAAACATCTTGATAGCATCCAGGTCTGGTTGGTCTGGGTGGTCCAGGGTGCCGTTCATTTTCTTTGAGCTACACGAGGTAAAAATGAAATAATTATGCATTCATGTTGCTTTCCAGGGGAAGTTTTCTTTTCTTTCAAGACCTAATTACTTTGGGGAAAGGAATATGAAAGCATTTTTTACTTATCTTTCCCCCTCTGGAGCCAATGATGATGGCTTCAAACAGCCAGCTGGATTCAAACTGGCAAACATCTGGTTAGCAGCTGAGCACTTAACCATTTGCACCACCAGACCTTTTCATGTTCTAAACACACTCATTTTTTTTAACAATAAAAAAAAATTAGCATTCTGATCTACTATTTTGAATTGTGTTCAAAGAGCTTCCAGAATGGTATTAAAATACTTCTTGCTTTCTTAACACCTAAATCTCTTCACTGGACACACAAAGGAGCTAGTCTTAAATCACACTGACAAGTCAGCATCAATTTGCTGGTGGGAAAATTTGTATTTTTGTTGAACAATTACGTAGATGACACAACCCTGCTTGCTGAAACTGAGGGGGACCTGAAATGCAGGTCCTGGGAGAGGGACATCATGCTTGGGAGCATGGAGGGATGGCGCAAGAGGGGAAGACCCTCTATGGACTGATTCGGTGACTGGGGTAATCGGGATGGGTGTGTCAGAGGCAGTGCGATTGGCACAGGATATAGAGCAGGGTTTAGGGCTGTTGTACACAGGGTTGCTATGAGTCACAAGCGACTTGATGGCACATGACAGCAACAACAACAATAAATAAATGCTATAAACTCTAAGCCCTCAGATCGACAAATGTTTCCAATTCTCTTAATATTCAGAACTGAAGCAAGTATTCCCAATAAAATGAATGTTTTGTACAAAAATACTCCTGTTTAACAGGTATCATGTCCTGTGATTATTTTATCCCCCTAGGAGTAAGCCATTCCTTTTTTAAAAAAAAGTCTTCAAAACACATTATTTAATGGTTTTCCTTTTAACCTACTAATTTAAAACCATCTGTGTCAGGTTGTTGCAAAAACACAATGCTGTAACTGTTTTTGGATGCATAATTCTAATGTTTCAACAGAAAGCACGACACCAGGGTAAAAAAGCCCTGTGACTGGTGAGACAATGGGTGTCACTCCCTAGAACCTGCCCCCAACAACTTTAATTACCAGTTTTAGTATCAATTTATTAAAATGTTGCTAATCTTTAATCATATTTCTATTCTAGGAAGGGTTAACACAGAACCCCCACAGTGCTCAGAATATGCTTTGGTGCTATGGAAGCTGACAGCTATTTCAGAAAAGAGACAAGGGTTTATTTGCTTGTAAAAAAGCGAAAGCAACTGCTTCTAGCTTGTCCCATTTGTGCACGTTTGTGTGCCGTTTCTACACCATTCTTTAGTGGAAAAGCATAAACACAGCCAATATATGGGGATTATGGAGAAATTCAATAAAGATTCAGGATTCTAAAAAAAAAAAAAAAAACCAAACCCCAAACCAAAACCAAATCCCACCCATTCCCTTTTCTTTTATTACTCTTGAATTCCTACGCCATTTCATCATGTCCACCTACTCTGTGAATCCCTCTTCTCCCGTGTATAACAATTCAACAGTCAGAAGAATCCTCTGGAGCAGGGTCCAAATGTGGTCCAAGGACCAGGGCCAATCTTCAAATTTAAGTCTTTGTAGTGTTAAAACAACTCAATAATCTTTTTAAAAAAATAGATACAAAAAATAAGTGAGGGAAAAAAACCCCAAGCCCCAGCTCACATTTTCACTATTTTTCTTTTCTAGCAGATAGCCATCTTTTTATTTAATAAGAGGATCAAAGAGGACATCATCCTCTAGCACAATTTGAGAAGCAATGCTCAAAGGATAGCACATTTCCAGGCCAACTCCAGGTGCTGTGGGCACCACATAAACAGGCTTATTTCTTCCTCTGATTTACTAGACACTTACTTACTCAGACTAGACACTGTGTCAGGTATAGCATACATGGATAAAAAATGTTTGAGGCCCTTTCTTGGAGCTCATAAGATACCATTAGAAATAAAGATGGTACTATCAGGGAGAAGTAACCACATGTACACCTAGTTCTAAGTAACAAGGAGTCACAACCTTTCTCATCAATTCCTACTGTGTCTAAAGAAATGAACAGTATTCCATTCCATGTCCATTAAAAGTAACTATAGCATTAAAAAAACTACCTGGGAGTTCCAGTGTGATACCAGGGATACCTGTTACCTGTTCACTCACACCAGAGATATCACTAAACACATTCTCAAATGTATGCTTTATCTCCCCACTAGATGGAAAGATCCTCAGAGTCAGCAACTTGTGAATTATATTTATTAATAAGCCCATTCAAGAAGCCGTGAACACAGCAGCTCTTGGAGAGAGTACTATCCATTGTGTCCATGGCATTCATAAGAGCTAAATCAGTGGAAATGCTCATCTTCAATGGTGGTGCTGCCAGCCCTGATCTGGCAGTGGAGTGGAAAAGGAAAAGTAGGCCCTACAGCAATAAGGGAAAAGGGAAGAGAGGAGGTAGGATGTGTCTCAAGGGAAAGGCACTGCCACCAACTCGCCACACTCTGTAGGGTTCTGCTCTATCAGATACAGTAAATGCAGTACCAGAAGGGAACTCTGGTAGTCTAATGGGTGGGGAGCTGCACTGCCAACCTAAAGACAGGTGATTCAAATTTACTAGTTGTCTGAGGGAGAAAGATGGACAATCTCCACTTGTGGGATCTTTACCCCTGGAAACTCTGGGGTGGAAGGGTTGGTTATGAGTCAGTCCTGACTCAGTGGTAATGAGCGAGGAGGAGAACCAGTAAGAATAGGCTGTTTTAACTAACTTTATTTTTAAAGGGTAAGACTTAGAAAACCAAAATGAACATCCAACTGAAGGGCTGTACTCGTTGATCTTAAATAAGTACTTCAAGTGCTTCATTTTTAGAAATCAAGGTTGTCAGTATGTGAGTGATCACCATCTGTTAATGAGTCTTCCTCCAATCCTGATGGCCACATACTTCTTCAAATAATCTAACTTCTCAGGTTACGCTTTCAGCATACAGACTGATGAGGTATTGTACCCTGTTAGCTACAACCCTAACTTTCCCTGATTTTAAGCGATACAGTTCTCCTTGTTTCTGGTCATATGATTACTTCTTGGTCTAGGTATAGAATCCACATGAGCATAATTATAAAATCTTCTGGAAATCCCATTCTTCACAATCTTATCCCTAAATTGTTAGGATCTACAGTCTAATGCCTTTGCATAATCAATAAAACACATAAACTTATTTCTCTGCTTTCAACCAAGATATGTCTGGTGCCAGTAATGATATTCCCTCATTTTATGTCTAAATCTGGCTTGCAATAAATTTTGTTAAGATGTCACTACTACTTCAAAGTTATTTACAAAGTCGAAATCACACACACACTCTCTCTCTCTCTCTGCTCTAGGTGATCCTGGCTCTTACTGACCCTCCAGCAGTTTTCTGAGGCTGTACATCTTTACCAGGAGACTACCAATCTTCTCCTCCTAGCTGGTGGATTCAAAACCAATGATCCATTAGTTAGCAACCTCCTTAAATGCCAGCTTACAGTACCAGGATTCCTTACATATTCAACACACTCTCTATCAAAATTCCAACAGTCTTTTTATATAAACAGAGACATGGATCTCAAATTCATACAGAACTGCAAAAGGGTGTTAAAAAGCCAAAATAATCTTGAAAAAGAACAAAATATTCTTTCATTGTAAACATACACTAAAAAAACCCAAAAACTTAATACTCAAAGGCATTCAGACCAATAGTAAGATTCCAAATAAATTTGTACATCTGTGGCCAACTGATGTTCAACAAGGGTATACAGCCAATTATTAGGGAATGAATAGTTTCTCCAACAGAAGTTGCTAGAATAACTAAATCTCTACATAACAAAAAATGAAGGTTGTCCTAAATCTTTAGCTATTAAAATCTAACTCAAAACAGATCAATGATCTAAATATATGATACAAATCTCAAAAAAGCACAAGCAACAAAAGAAAACGGAATTTCACCAACATTTTAAAAACCTGGTGCATCAAAGGGCATTATCAAGAAGGTAGAAAGACAAAGAAGGGAAGCAAACAGTTTGAAACTATCCAACATGGGTTTAATATTCAGAATATCTTAAGAACGTCTACAACTCAACAACAAAAAGAATTACCAGAACAATTAAAATATAAGCAAATATTTCAATAGAAATGTATTTTTCTCTCTAGATGATAACATAATTATGATAAAAACAAAAGGGGGGAATATGGGAAGCCAATACTAAATATTTGTAATAAACAGAATGCTATTTAAATAAAAATATTTCCATTTCTCAAAAAAAAATTTTATAGAAGGCCAATAAATAAATGAAAAGATGCTTGTTGACATCTTAGTCCTTCACTCATTGCTGTTAAGTCAGTTCTGAGTCACAGTGACTGTGCAATGGGTTCCAGAGGCTGGAACAAACCACTGTAACAAAGTATTTGGCAGTTCCATTACATGTGAAACCTAGAATTACCATGAGTTAGCAATAGCACTTTAAGGTATATACCCAAAAGAACTAAAAGCAGGGACTTAAATAAGGACTATAATAGACACCAATATTTGGTGCAGCATTATTCACAATAGCCAAAAGGTAGAGGAGAGAAAAAAGTTCTTATACATGGATGAAAATATGCTAAGCGAGGGGAAATGACTAGTATATGATCATGAAAGAACGAAATTGGGCTTTTTTTTTCTTGCAATAACACTTAAAGTTTATTGGATGACAGCACACACAGGAAACGCAATTAGTCGAGAAGCCCACTATCCGTTCCCAAAGGGATCATCCTAAGAATTGAGACCCAAGAGGCGAACCCCGGCAGACGCCTAGTCCGCCGCCTGCAGCGGGCTGGGGCCCCAGTTATGCGCGAACTCATGCTCTTGGCGCAGCAGCTTAACCCCCGGCACCACGGGCAGGCGCGCCAGGGGCTCAAAGGCAGCGCGTGAAATTGGGCTTTATAAAAGAGACAAGGTCGTAAAAAATTACAACTGATGAAGAGGAAGAGAGGGAACAAGAAAGGAAATTAGGGCGAACGGAAGGCTATATAATACATCTGTCAAGACACAGATTCCTTTAGCATAAGAATCTCTGGGCATGCATCCATGAATCTGAATTTTCACATTCATGGGATTTTTCAGTAGTCTATTGTCTACACTTCAAGGAACACTGAATTTATTTAATCTCTTAAAACATGAGTGAGTTCTGGTGGCCTAGTAGCAAGATGCTGCACTGCAATTCCAGAGGTATGCGGTTCAAATCCACCAGATGCTCTGCTGGAGAAGGAGGGGCAATATCCTTCTGTACCAGTCAGATCTGATTTGATGGTACACACACACAAAATAATAAAATAAAATAAATGAGAAAATGGAAATACTAGGTTTAAAGATAGGACTTGGGCAAAACACAGAGAAGTGACAAGTAATTTAAGCCATAACATCTTATTTCAAAGAATCATGTATTCGGGACATAGGAATACCTTTCTGGTGTATTAAGTCTTTCTCATTATATTCACTGTAATTTTACCATTATCTAATAAAAATACCTATTTGAATTATTATCTGATAATAAAGAGAAGGCTTAATATTCACTTCAAAAAATGGAATCCAGTTAAGGGCCCTGAAAGAGGTGGTATCATCACCTGTTACCCCGAATCCCAGGGTCGAATGATTTGTACATGGAGGCCTGAGCTCAAAGGCTTGCACTAATACCTGTTATCTAGGGAACAGCCTACTCACTCACTACTTAATATTCCTGGATTTGACTAGTGTAAGGCTCTTTTGAGGCTCCAAAATACTTTGAAGCATGTTTTAAAGCAACTGAACTCAGAAGTGCAGATGTGTCCTTCCAAAATTTATTTTGGCAAACTGCCCATCAAGATTGATCCAATTTTGGTTTTGGAGCCATCTGATGTTCCTGAAATCATGTGAACTGCATTTTCAATCAGACTGGGAAAAACGTCAAGGTCCAGAGTTACTCCTTGCATGTCAATATAGAAGGCTGTACAAAAATACAAAAAATATCTTATCTTGGCTACCAGCCTCCTCTGTGATATGTTACCTAAGTTGAAACAACAATCAAAAACTATCCTTGTATATACAACCAAAACAAAAAAGCTATAGTTAAAAAAAGAACTAGACTTTATCATATATGAAAACATGATAGTTTAAGAGAAGGTGCACACACCAGAGCTGATGATGTTGCTGGCCACATACTAAGTGTACTCTATCTAAAGAACTTAAGTTACAGCCTCAAGGAAACCAGCAGTAGTGAGACAGAACCATGATACAACAGAAAGCACAATGATTTGAGAGAATTCAGTCTTCTGAGTCTCTTCTAATTTTTAATTCCCTCTTGTCAGGAAAGAGACTACGAATTTTAACAAACAACAAAACTGATCACTTCCTCCACGTGTAAAAACTAGACATCACAAATACTTACACAGGACCGGAATTCAAAGAACAGTGGTCCACCATCATGTCTGGAAGGAAATCCAACTTAAATGCAGCCATCACCTCACTCTCCCCTTCGGAAGCCAAGGAGAGTAACCTGCTGCACTTGTCTGAACCACAAATACACAGTTTTCCCCCACAAAAACCACAAAGTGCAGAAACAGGAGCTTGGGGAAACAAGCAGTAAGTGCCACAGAAACAAGCAGGACTGGGAAAAGGAGAGGGAATACTGGATTAAAAGGGGGATGTGACCATGTGAAGGGAGGTTCAGCCCAGCACACAATGAAAGTGCTGATGCACCAGGCTTGTTTTGTGTGATTTTCCCTGGCGAAGCAGTACTAAGTGCACTGTCAGATAAATAGAGTGTCAGATCCATGAAGATAGCAGTGGCTAACAGAGCAGAAGAAACACAAACTTGTTTCACATCCTCCAAACTCTTCTTGCAATCAGATTTTAAGATCTCCCAAAATCTGAAACTACCTGAAGTAAAAAATAAGCTTCCCTTACGTGATATGAGAATGTTTCTAGAGGTAAGAACTTGGGTTGTTAGCCATGGTTTTAAATGGTTTCCATGTCCCAAAGGCAGCAATGGTCTAAACTTGTGAAGAAAGACCATTAAATGTAGGCCAGAGGCAAACTAGCTAAGAAACCAGTTACCAGAAATCTTCAGTGCACATACAACAAAACGGGTCACAGTGTGCTCTCTAATGGTCCCTCACTGAGGGGCAGAACTTTTAAAACCCCAAATACATGCACACCCATGTTTATCACGGCTTTGTTCACAATAGCAAAGAGCTGGAAACAACCTAAGTGCCCATCCACAAACGAATGGACAGAGAAGCTCTAGTATATTCACACAATGGAATACTACGCTGCATTGAAAAACAAGAAACTCATGAAATATTACACAAAATGGGTGACCCTGGAGGATATTATGCTGAGTGAAATATCTCAGTCACAAAAGGACAAATACTGCATAGTGTCACTGTTGTAAAACAGGACTGACATTGGGGTTCGAAGGAGCCTGAGAAAGACGGAATAAATTATGTACACTGCATTGAAACAGATGAGGGAGAGAACTGTTTAAAAGGGATATATGATTAGGTATTATTGTCATGACAGGAGTCCAGAATGAAGGCTGCATAGTGGAGTGGACTAGGGGGAAGGGACTGTATAACTATTAAAGAATTTTTCTTTTACTTTTCAAAGAGAAGAGCAAACTTGGGGGAGGGGGGAGAAAAGTGCAACAATGAATAAATGGAAATAGAAAGTCTCTTTATATTTTCATTAAAATTAATAAAAAACAAAACAAAACCCCCCAAATTAAAAAAACAAAACAAAACACAAAACAACTTTGGTTCGGTGATATTCATTAGAAGGCATAGGAGAAGTACTTCTACTAACTCTAATAAAACATTTGTCATAAAACAGAATAATAATAATAATAATAATAATATTCAGTCTCTTGATAAGAATACAAGGAAGTAAGATCTTTTCTGAACTTGTTTCTAAGTAATTCTCTTCCCTTTGGTATAAAGGGGAGAGGACAAACAGAAAACATCAAAATGATTATGAAGAAAAAAGGCCACTAGGGATAGATACTCAAATACTTTAGAGGAGGACAGGAAAATGTAGGCTGAGTCTCTTCACTCTCCCTTTGATACTGTTGCTAAAATCAAGAATAATGACTGCTCACATAAAAAAAATTCTATTATGGGTGAGCAGCAGAAATAGACTTAGCAGGCAAGGCAGATGTGGCACTCCACACAACAAATGGTGGCATTTCAATATTTAGGCAGTAACTCTAAAACTGTAGCTCTGAATGAAGGTTCCCAAATTTCACAGGCCTTGTTTCTATTTTTATCATTAGGGGTGCCTTACCTCAAAGAGTTCACCCAAGCTCAGTTCATCACAGAGACAACTTTGACAGAGAAGTTATGTTCAGCCTGTGAAAAGGTAAATGAATAAATTCCTAAAAACATAGTTGATTAAAATAAATGAGAAAAGAAAGATGGCACAAGTTAAAAAGTTTCAGATCTCCAAACCAATAGCAGACACCTATCTGCTTTTGACCCAGGTAGGTATAAATTGTGTCTTCTACCCAATGTTAGAACCATCCCAAATTCCTAACTGGTTTGCTGTTGTGGGTTTAGTTGTCCTTCCAAGCCCCCTTCTTTCCTATTCTATTTTGTCAGAGATACTGGCTCATTTGATCTACTCCATTAGAGGCAAAAGTAGAAGGTGCACTCTGCCACTGTACTAATGAGAACAAAACAGGCAGCAAGTGAGGAGACTGTAACTGACACAGTACACAGTTCACCAAGCCCCGACTGTCAGGCAGGCAGAAGCTGTAACCTTAGCTGAGAATGGTTGAGTTACAGGGTAAGTCTGTCCTAGTTTCTCCTCGGTACACTGGAGCTGATGATTACATGGTACTTCCTACAGTCAATTACCTGGACAAAGGCGTAACTTGGTCAGCCAAAACCTGGCTAGATTTTTTAGTTCAGTATTTTCCTTTTTATAAAAAAACCCACCAGTTTATTTACAAAATTTGAATACATTGTTTTTGAGGACAGATTCTTACAATTTCCCCCACCTATCAAATTATACAACTCCATGATTAATTCCCTCCTCCTCCTCCTGCACATCCTCATCCCTGTTTCCACTCCTCCCTGCCCCCTTGGATCCTCATACTCATTCTACAATAATGGTTTTATACAGTATTTGTCTTTGTGGGATTGAGTTAGTTCACTCAGCATAATGCTCTCCAGTCCCTCCCAAGTTAGGTAATAATTCACAAAATCATTGCTCCTGCCTGCTGCATAGTATTCCATTGTGTGAATGTATCAGTATTTTCCTTTTAATTGCAACAAATTCAAGAAATCTCACTGCTTATGTCTGTGCTCTTATTATTCACTAAGAAAGCATACAACTTCTAAATAGAAATCCAACTTTCAAGTGCCCAGGAAGCAAATGAAAAGACCATGGCTTGCACTGGATGCACTTTGGCCTAACATCCTTGCTCTCTAACACTTTAAAGAGGTCCTTGATGGCATTATTTCCCCAATGCAATCTATCTTCATTTCCTCACTGTGATTAATCTGTGTGTTGCTGAAAGATGGACAGCGAATATAACGAAGACCCAAAAACCCCAATGTCCCTGAACTGTAGTACTGGAGAAGAGTACTACTAAATATAACATGCCTGTCGAAAGAACAAACAAATCTGCCTTGGAGGAAGTGCAACCAGAGTACTTCTTATAGGTAAGAATACTGAAACTTGCTTTGGCCATTCTGCCAAGAGGGGTCAGTCCATGGGAAAAGACATTATGCTGGAAAAAGTAGAGAGTCAGCAAAGGAAAGGAAGACCCTCAAAGACATGGGGCAGGAAAAGGTTCAGACCTAATGTTAACAGGGTTGTTATGAGTCTTAGTCAACTCAAAGGCACCTAACAACAACAAACACAGTTCTTAATAATAAAATCATACTGATGGAGTACTTAGACGTGGAAGACTTTACTAAGTCACTAGTATGTACCCTCCTCATGATAATTTTTATTAAGCTAGAAGAATATTTTTCAACTAGTAAGTGATATTTTAGAATAATGTATAAAAAAGGATTTTTCCTCACCCAAGAGCTTCATTTGAACCAATACTAATTTCAGCAGCCCAATTTATGAAACAACTAAAGAGGAAATAAAGTAGTCGAGAGCCCACAAATTCTGTTGATACTGCTATTAAAATCTACTTTATGATGTATAAAGCACCACCACTTTAAACACAAGACTGAACTGCTAATACATGAAGGAGGGTGCTTCTCTTTAGGCAGGTCAAAACTATCATCTCAGTGTGATTACATTCAATGTGCTTATGGGCAAAGACAGCACAGAAATAAATCACAAGACTCTTGATTTTAGAAAAAGGTTACATTTAACACATTGCCGCAAATGATGGCAAAATGTGTTCCTAAGCAAGGTCGTCAATTTAAAAGTGTGTGGCAATGTGTTAAGTGATAGTAAAAATATTTCTAGGGCTATAAAAATGCAGGGCTTAAAAGAAAAATTGAAGCACAAAATTAAAAACGTTACTCCAGAAAATGGACCCCAAATTTTGTTTTAATTTCTTAATGTGGTACATACACACTGCAGGTTGTTTTCTATAGAGTGTGACAGGCAGGCTAGGTATTACCAAGACTGCATTCCAAAGGTGAACCCGACTTTCTCTTTTATCCCATTCTGTCACTGCGGGGTTAAGAGTGAGGCTGCTAACTGAAAAGTTCACACTCATCAGCTGCTCTCCAGCTGAACGTAAGGTAGTGTGTTTCTAAAAAGATCACCTTGGAAATACAATGGGACCGATCTACTCTTTTAGGGTTATTAAAAATCAGAATCAAAGTGAGGGAAAGGAACTGACTGTGTTTTTTATTCTCTGGATTACTTTGAAGGTACCTCTGTCCCTGGCTGGCTGGGTGTTTTTGGTTTGTGGTCTGGGGGTTTTTTTGCCTCTTTTCTGGTAGATATTTGCTGGTATAGTTGAATGATGGTTGCATTAACAAGTTTTCTCTGTATGCCTGTGGATAGTATCCTATTATTCATAGCACTGTACTTCTGGATGATCTAGAAATGGTCTTTTTGATTATGAATGCAACCCAATTTTTCCTCCCTTTTCCATTCCTGGTATAGATCATATGATTGTTTGATTCAAAGTGGCCAATTCAAATCCATCTCAGCTTGTTAATGCCTAGTATGTTAACTTTCCTACATACTTCATGTGTTCCACATTTCAATTATTAGTAGATGTTTGCAACTGTTTCATCTCATTTTCTAGTGTTTTCCAATGAGGACACTCTCTACCTTCAGTGCTCTATTGCTCACTTTGGGCCAGCAAGCAGCATTAAGTTAGAACGAGAAAAGATTGGAGTTATTAATGATTTCATCTTGCTTGGATCCATAATCAACATCCCAGCACCAGCAGTCAGGTAATCAAAAGATAAGCTGCCTTGGGAAAAATCTGCTGTCAAGGATCTCTCTAGAGTGCTAAAGAGCAACAGTGTCAGTCGGTCTGGAGACCGATCCAAGAAATGGTCTTTTCAATTACTTGCTATGAATCTGAACAAAAACTAAG